AATACAATTCATCGACGCCCAATATTTTAAAAAGAATTTTGAATTTTTTTTTGTGCGTGTATAAATGTGCCGATTTTTGTAAATACAAATTTTTTTGAAAATAAGAGCGATAAGTAAATTTAAGACCAACCAAAAATTTAATAAACCATTAGATTACGGAGAATATCTTCCTAAAATTTGATGATTACTTGGCAGTTAAAAAATTTATGTTAAAAAGGCGTTCACGTTATATTCTTCACGTCACTTTTACAGATATTTCCACCGTAGAAAAACTTTAGATAAACTTCTGTCTGTCATTCACACTGTCAACAAGAAAAATAAACAACTACCACCGTGTTAATACATTTCTCTGATATTTTAAACTTAGTGTAATATTTGTTTCAAATCAGATTAAATTGTAAAGCTTCTAATATTTGTCAAAGTTTCAAAGGAGTAGATTTTATTTTTGTAATTTTTTTTTTTATAAACAGAATAGTGATGTCTAAAAATGTCGCTAAAATCAGCGATACTTAGCAATTTCAAAACGAAAACTCATTCCGGTCAATTTAAATTAGTTTTGAAATAGAGCAAAGTATTTTGCTTGCTGGAAATATTAAATTTAATATATTAGGTTGTAATTAAAACTAAAAAGCTTCAAGAAGATTATTCATTTTTAGAAATTCTTTTTAAACCTAATGTATCGCAAATTTATGGCGGTACCTAAGTTAAAAGATAGGCAGGTAAATCGATAGATAACGCAACTCTCATTCAGTCAGTTATGTGTCATGCGTGATACACGCTTAAGCGATCGATACGTCTTTCGATACATGACTGACGATACAGATTCCTGCAGTAGGCTGCTATTTCTTTTTGCGGTAGACCAGTTGCCATCAAAGGCTATAGAACCCGGTCTGTCTTGTTATTTACCCATAGCTGGAGGGGGAGGAGAAGAGGATTAATACCTTTCCCAAGGGTATTAGCACGTAAGTGAATGTAATGGACTCGACTGGGATTGTACTCTTTAATTCTTTAATCCGAGCCGTCAAAATCGAAAAGCTTGCGGAGGTTTAAAGTCTGTCTATTCTAAAAAGCAACAGTGATTGTTTCATTTTTCTTTTCAACGCCCAAATTTGCGAAATCACAAATATCTCTTCAGAATGTCATACTGCACACACTCTTTAGATTTTATTCGCCTTTCCTAAATATTCGTCATGATATCACCACGTATCTATAGAATGTGCCAAATTCCAAGATCGTCAAAGAAATAGGAGAGCATCAAATTACTGTCTGGCAATACAGGTGATCTTTGGCTTTTTTTTTTTATTCTTATAAATGTTTAAATACTACTTTTTGTTTTTTTTGTATCCGTCATTTATACAAATTTTTATTTATTTTATATTCCAGACAATATATATATATTTTTTTTTTTTTTTAGATTAAAAAAAAAAAAAAAATACGGACATTTTTACCGAAAACCTTTAGACAAGAATCGGAAAAAAATAAATAGTTAACTAAAATAACGATGTATTTAAGTATTAGGTTGGTGCAAAAATAATGTCGTTTTTGACGTTCAACTTAACGTCAAAAACGACATTATTTTTGCACCAACCTAATATTTTCGATTGTATTCAGTCAGTGATGTGCCTTGCGTGATACACGCTTAGGCGATCATGTATCTTTCGATACATGACTGACGAGGCAGATATTTGTCTGTCCTGCTATTTACCCATAGCTGGTGGAAGAAGAAGAGGAGTCATATCTTTCTCAAGGGTATTAACAGGTTATTGAATGTAGTGGATTCAACTAGAATTCGATTCTATTAGACACCATGAATATCAAATTATTATCTCGTGCCACAGGTGATGATTAGATATTTTTTTCATTCTGATAGATGTTTAGACAATACATTTTGTATTAGACTTCTAAAATATTAAAAAAGAAAAAAAAGAAAAAAAGTGCTATACACTTCATTTGGTGTGCTTTATTGCTTACCTACCAAGAGCAAGGCGTTCTATTTCTTCAAAGCCGCCAAAAGAATGGCGCAACAATATACGCAATATACACTGTCTAAAGTAAAAAAAAATAAAATTAGGGCTTCTATTTCAAATACGATTATCCACTGAATAATAACGTTTAATAATAAAAATGGGAAATTATATATATATATATATATATATATATAGGATTGATGTGAATTTGCGATCGTCTGACGATCGCAAAAGCGTAAAACCCAGGGTCACAAACTCACATCAATCCAACCAAATATGTTAACTCAATCTCTGATATTGAGCGCTTTCTAATAAGTACCACGCATATATTATATAAATAATAATATTACACATATATATTTATATACACACACTTTTTTTATATATATATATATATATATATATATATATATATATATATATATCTCTTTTAAAATATCTTATTTGGAAAGTTTGTTTACCCTTAGAGTTTAAGAGTTCCTCCCAAACAATATTTCTAGTATAAATGTGTCATTTATGCATCATCATCATCAAAATCCACTACATAGAAATGTCATTCCTCCATTAAAATGAAATAGATTTCTCTGATGATGTAAGAAATAAAAGTAAAAAAAAAAAATAGAAGGATGAGGAACTTCATAGATTAAATAAAAGGTTTAGTTGGAAATTCCCGGATCGCCAAGCACGTAAAAGAAATCTGGAGGACACAACGCCCGAAACGCCGTGGTAATAGCAAAGGGAAAGACAAGAAGAGTGTATGTAATATAAATAAGAGATGCACGTGATATCTCACAATGCGTACGCTGACCACTTTACTAACTCGAGAGTAACGCATTTAAAGCGGACAGAGAAAATATATATATAAATAACCAACAATAATTAATATGATACATAAAAATTTAAATGACTTATCTTCCGACTTGAAGTTTTTCAGATATACCTTTCTACACGTCAGAGTAAGAAATCTATTTAATTCATTTATATATATATATATATATATATATATATATATATATATATATATATCACTTTTTTCATAGTTAGCGATAAACACAGTAACTGATAAAATAAAGTAACAACGCTATGGATAAATAGTTAACTTCTAATTCAATAATGAATTCGGTTCTCACAAGTGTCCAAACAGTTGTAAACTTGGGCCAGAATACAATCTAGATACCTCTAAGTATTTTAGTAACTTTTTCCTACAGTAAATAGATAATATTTTTCATATATACGTCAGAATTCGCAAGCAAAGGATTATTTAAAAATTTATTTTAAAACAAACATTTTTTTCGTCATAATATTTCAATTATGTCATGATGAATATTAATCCGTTTTAAAAGTAAATTTCAAATTAAAATTCATTGAACTACGTGTCAGGTTACCGACTTATTGATTCCATATAAAAGTAAATTTCAAATTAAAATTCATTGAACTACGTGTACTGATTTATGGATTCCATATTCAGGTAGGTATCAGATGAATTATATATCAGTTATATTTTTTCTGAAATTTGAACCTATTCATATTTGCTACCGTTAACCGTATTTGAAATTTTATATATATATATATATATATATATATATATATATATGAGGCAGCAGATCATTATTTAAGCATATATTGTTAAATATAACAGACAAGGAATGTCTTGTGTTTGATCATGAGTCTTAACTTCGTTGCTTTAATTTCGGGCGAAAATAAACAAAATTATCCAACATTTGGATATTTTTTATTATGCTATTTATTGATCTAAGCTATCGTCTCACATCTTCTATGTCAACATAACAGAATATCATCTTTGATGGTGAATATCTGTTTATATGTCCGTATAATCACCCTGAAGATGGCTCATGTGAACCGAAAGCTTAGAACAAGGACCAGCTTAATGAAAAATATCCAAATGTTAGACAATTTTTGTCTTTATTTTCACCCGAAAGTAAAACAAGCATACCCTCTAACCCTCTACCTCGAGTGGCTTCCGGGCTTTATACAGGATGAAGCAGAGTTGGAAAAAGAAAAGAAAAGCTTGAATTATTCAGCTATATTGCATATGATCCGTTACTGTATATAAATAGGCTGCAATAAAATTTATATATTAATAATACGTTATGAAAATTGAGATGTAGCAGAAAGATTCGGTGGAGTCGGGTGGGGGGGACAAGATTCTTGAAACGGCCCTGGCTGAATTTAAAACTGTAGAAGGCAATCATTAAATTTTACAATATAATAGAAATTAAGATCTATATTATAAAAATACTGATTTTTATGTCCATCACACACACACTGCTTGTGACTTTGCATAGGCGTTTGTAATGTATATTCTTATGTCTGTGTTGTGCGTGAGTAACCTAAATGTGCTTGTACCATTGAATGTGTAAAAAAACAAAAGCAAAAAAAAAAACGCATATATAAATTTGACCGAGTTTGAAATAAGTCATTGGAATACAATAATACATTCCCAGTTTTGATAACCTCCACACTTGTTGAGGACTTTATTTTTAAACCCTAAGGCAGTGATTCTCTAAAGTGGTTGGTGGTACGATCGTGTGTGTGTGTGTGTGTGTGTGTGTGTATGTGGGAGAGGGGGGGTACACAGAGGGTAGAAGTGAAATAATTGGCTCCACTTTACAGTGTATCCCATTTATATAACAGTTATAAGAAATTGTAAGATTCTCATTTGAAATGCAATACTAGCATCAAGAGAATTCACTTAGCGTTGTGTCTATACATTTAGGGGGCTTTATGGTCAGGTTTTGGTACTCATTTCGGCGGCAACTCAAATTTGGGATCAACTGTCTCCCCTCCTCCAAAGATTAGATCATAATGAACTTCTTAGTTCATGATGGCCATGATTTTACTGATCAAAGTCCTACTAATTAACTCATAGATGGAGGGGAAAGAGGTGGCTTCATACCGTTTCCCAAGGGTATTTGCACCTAAGTGAATATAACGAACCCAATTGGAATTGGAACTCGGCTCTCCGATTTCCAATTCGTTATCATTTACACCACTCACATACCCAAACTTAGAGCAACTGGTATTCCAAGCGCTCCCTCATCTAAGTACAGACCAGGCTCGACGTTGCTTAACTTTAGTGATCGTACGAGAATCGATGTTTGAATGTGATACGGCCGTAAGACCGATTTTTTAAATTTTATTTCAAGAAACTATTCGAGTTTTTTGTTTTGGTTTTTAAATTTTGTGGAAATATTTTTAGGTCTGTTATTGAATTAAATCTACATACGCACACACGCGTTTGTGTAGCGGCATGTCAACACTTTATGGGTCATTTAATATCAAAATTTAATTTTCTTGGTAACATTTTCTCTTACAAAAATGTATTGCTATTTTTTCTTGACAAAAATATATTGCTGGTATGGTTACTATAATTTTAGAATAGTTTCATAGTGTTTTGATTCCAGTTTGTGGAGGTGGATAACTATTTGCCCATCGTTGGGACCCTAACTGGTGCTACCACCCCGGATCAATGTGGATCTGGGAACAACAGTAACAGTTCCACGCTCCTCAAAACTTCCCTTGGAGTTTATCATGATACCAAGGAAGGCACACGCAAACGTACAGGCACATTGAAATATTTGTCTCTAGTGGGAGACAATTTCCCTTTTCGTCTGACAATGATTCCTGGGTAACAGGGAAAGATTATAGACAGAAATGTGCGGCCCTTTGAAATCTTTTTTACGACTCCTTCGGAATATGTTTTCTAATAAATGTAGTATTTAAAAATGGACAAACATTTAGATTTTGAAACCTGATCCTACTGGCGTCAGCAAATCGACAGGTACAGAACTATTAAACGAAAAGGAAACTGCGTAACTATAAATGCCTACGTCCTGAATGGAGATTATTTAAATAAAAATAAAAAAAAAAATGCTTGTACCAAAAAATGTCTCAAGAGAATCGGTTGCGTGAAGTTGGTGTAAAGTTAGTGCATAGTGATAAGCCAAGAAAAAATAATAATATATATATATATATATATATATATATATATATGCTTTCGCATCAAATTACAATGAGTGGTTGTCGCGCCCCGCTAACGCAATGTCACGATCTGAAAGAATGAAAGTTGGGACAAATACATTGTCCCGGTGATATCGGGGCTTAGAACAACACACACACACATATATATATATATATATGGGACGTCCTTGAGAAAGTATTTTAATTTATTTCCTTTGACATTTTTACAATATCTTTTTTTTTGTCTCCTGTTCTAAGGGAGGCAACTGCACCTCTTAAAGTGCATTCATACCGATTCCTGATAGAGGAGAAGCCAGGTGCCTAACCGACTATGTAATCTGTAGATACAGGGAATTTTATACATCTCAGCATTGTCTACTTTAGCTGCAGAGGGATTTTAATGACAGCGGAACGTTTTTCTGTGTGTATAGAGTACTTATAGTGATCAACACTTACATTTACTTAACGTCTTAATATTTACAAAATATTTTCGAAGTGAGTTAACATTTTTATATATAATAGATATGGCCGAATTTATTTAGAGTATTTTTCTGTTCCTTTCCATAACTTTTGTTAGTATCCCACACTGTGAAGACAGTTACCAGGAATGGTGGTCTGTTATGTTCATGTGTAGTCGTACCAACATAACAGAATTTTTAGTCCAATGAAGGACAAAATGCGTCACAAGCAAACTTTTCCGCACTGTCATACAATTTCCCTATATATTGTTATTGATATATAAAAATATAACCATTCGCCCATATATATATATATATATAAAAAGAAAAAACAGATCACATTTAGGCTCCATTGTAATAATTTATTTCACCAGAGAATTTTATCCTTCTCTGTATCTTCAGACTTCACTTTCAAAAGGTGAAACGAAAAATGAAATTAAAATTTACACTTTTGACGGGTAGTATTAAGCTTATATAAGTTGACGTGGAGGGTGGCGAGGGATGGTATGAGTGACATGGTCGAGTTTAGAGAGGGAAGGGAGAGTTTTAAAATTTCTTATATTTCTTTTTATAATATTTAATATTGAGGAAGGTGAAGGTCTATATTATTTAATGAAACATGCATTAATGATTTATATATATATATATATATATATATATATATATATATACAAGTGAACATAGAAGTCAGCACAGAGGCGACAGTGTTTCATGCTATATGCAATCGTCAGGCCACGTGTGCTATAAGTTTCCGTGTTTCATGATTAAAGGCAGCAAAAACGATCTGTTTAAATTATTCACACGCTCTATCTCTGATATTGAGCACTTTATCCCATAAATATAGCAAACCTTAAGACTATATTTCTTCATTTATATCATTAATGCATGCTTCATTAAATAATATAGACAAGTTTTGTCCATTTTAAGTAAATTCCTTTCATATTGACTGATAAGCTTAATAACATCATTGAAAGACGAAAGGAAATCACCATATTGATACATGTTTAAGACCAATCTAAGCTTTCGGCTTACATAAGCTATTATCAAAGATAATTACTTTTCAATATATCAACCAATACACGGACGAAACAATAATGATTGTTTTTGTTGCATGAAAAATTTCAAAGCAACGACAAACTCGTGTATACGAGACGCGGAAGCAAAAATCGCATCGCAGCTAATGACATCACACATGACCACGCGAGAGTGAAAACGAGAAGTATTAAGTATGGCAAGTCGTTTGTGTGTGTGTGTGTGTATGCGTGCGTGCGTGTGATCCTTTCGTAATCACCTATAAGTTTCCGTGTTTCATGATTAAAGGCAGCAAAAACGATCTGTTTAAATTAAAATATGCTGCCAAGGTAGAAAGTGTTAAGGTGAGGAATAGAGCGTGTGTAAAAATAGAAGTGTACAGCAAGTGGCGACATATTGTTTCTTGCTTGAACGCAATCTTCGGGCCATGTGTGTTGCCGACTGGTTCGACTATTTATATAGGCTGGTCAATGGGGGGTATTTAGATACCAAGTTTAAGTATTTCCGGCTTATTGTTTTATCCTAACGGTTACTAGGTAGGCGGGAACGGTTATATTTCTAAAGTCTATTGAATAGACATAATTGTGGGTTAGAATATGTGTGTGTGTGTGTGCGCGCGCGCATATTCAAGCCACAATAAACAAAATACAGTTATAAACCTAACCTTCTATAATTAACACCCGTAGCATCAACCCACATAAAACAAAAAAAAATTGTTACTAAACAAGAAAATAAAAAAAATAAGTAAACGAAGACAAACAAATTTACTTTGTCATTATAAAAAAAAAATATTTAAACAAGAAATAATAATAATAATAAACTTATATTTTGAAAAACTTTAGAGCAGCCCCAGAAGATTCTGGAATATTAACCTGATTTCAAGTCGCCTCCGAGCCCAGAAAGACCTTCACCACATCATCAGTACCGAAAGATAAAAAAAAAAACGAAAGAAAAAAATTGGAGAATATAAGAGACAAGTAAATGATGAAAAGAAATAAACACAACATCTTTTACATATGCACGATAATATATCTTGTACTCTCACTCTTTCTCTCACACACACACAAAATAATCAACCTAACATCAATCAAAAAGAGCATAAATTGTTTTTTTTAACTCGAAAACGAGAGCATTTTTATCTATTTACATATGTATTTGACTATATAACACACACATATATACATATATATATATATATATATATATATATATAGTCGAGGATACCAGTCTACAATCCCTATTTCCAAAGCTTGCTCAGACATTTGTTTGTTCAACACCTACAGAGACCACCTGAAGTGTGTGTGTGTGTGTGTGTTTGTTTCACCCCATCACTTAATTTTATAAAAACTTGAGAAATTCAGCGTGATAATTTTTAGCGTCTATATTAATTAAAAGCAAAATTTTAAGGGGGATTTAAATTATCGATTTTTCTTTGCAAATTCGCACTCCATCCTACTGAAAAACTGCTCTGAATCGGAAAGTAAAAAACGCCATAAAGCTAAAATTATTTAATTAGAGAAGCTTTTAATTGCTTTTATGAATAATATCAAGGACAATATTGTCTTAAGAAAAAAAATTTTACAAGATTTAACATTCTTAAAATTTTTTAATTTTAGAATAATTTTAAATCTCTTAAAATTCAGCTTCAATTGTAACCTTTAGAAAAGATTGTTAAGTAAAACTATATTTACTAATCATATATCGTAAAGCTTATCTGACAATATTTTTAAAAGAATTTTGAATTGTTTTTGTATAAGTAAAAAATACGTGCCCAATACATGATACAAGCAAGAATATTATAGCTCATAATTTACCATAAATGTCGCTAAAAACATTACGGACAATATTTTCTTAATTTTTACGATATAGTACTTAAAGGCGCTTGCGTTGTATTCCTCAATTATATTTTTTAAAAAGTTAAACCCTCCGTAGAATAACACAAGTTAAAAATCTGTGATCGAGCTGTTATGGGGGGGGGGTGAAAAACCTGTCACCATCAATAAACAATCTACCGTTGAGTTGAAAAAAAGCGTTTCTGTGATATTTTAAACTTAAAAATAATAATAGTTGTTTCAAATCAGATTAATTATATTTTAAATAAGGTAATATTCCTTAAATAAGGTTTCAGGAACGTATATTTTATTTTGGGATGATTTTTTTTAATAAAGGTTTACATTTTTATAGCATTTTGCTAAAAGAGGCGCTAACATCAAATTTTAGAAATTAAAAAAAATCCTTCCATTTAATTTAAATTAGATTTGAAATAGTATTTTGTTTATTGGAAATATTAAATTTAACGTCAACTTGAAATTAAAATAAAATCTTCAAGATTTTTATTTTAAACGTTAGGTATCGCATTTGGGGGGGGAGTACCTCTCGTTAAGATAAGTGAAGACCAACCTTTTTTCACCCTTGTGGCCTATATATATGCCAACAAGGGTGAAATGGGAAAAAAAGGTGTCTAATATATATATATATATATATATATATATATATATGAAAATATCTCCGATTTAATCGGTAGAGAAGATAATATTTATGATAGAAAATGACAATAGGAAAAACTGTATTGCTGCCGCGTTTTGTCCAATGTGGACTTTATCGTTAAAATAAGAAAAAAAAAAAAATTTCTGTATTTTGCTTGATAAAGTCCACATTGGACGAAACG